TGCTGTGCTTGCAAGACAGGCACAGTGCCACTGAGCTAAATCCCCGGCCCTGTAATCCCAGATTTTAATTCAATCCAAAATAAAAGCAATGCAGAGCCTGACATTTCCTCAGCTTCCCTTTCCTTATATTCTGACAAGGAGAGATGAAAAACAACACAAAATGTAGTGAAAACATCTCACTCCCAGTCGCTGCAGCAGTACTTTAACTGAGTGGAACTCCAAATGTGAATGTGCCAAGAGCTGCAGGCTCTGTTTTCCGGTTTTGTTTCTATGTCCCCATGCAGTGGTGAGTCTGGTAAAAGTCTCTCTGTGCTAGTCTGCACCTTTGCAAATCTCCCCCCCCCCCCCCCCCGCTGCACACCTGGCTCCTTTGCCTCCACTCTCGTGATAGCCTTCTGCTTCTACTTCTGCATTAACCCATCCTGCAAACGTCACTGCAGACCGGCTGAGCAGCTCTTATGGAAAGTCTGCTACAGAAGACAGACAGCTCTTAATTCATCATTTGCCCTCTTCACATCACTGCCAGAAATCAGTAGCCTCTTTGCACTTCCTTGCCGCTGCTTACATGGACCAAAGCTTGACAATTTCATAAAAATTTGGATATTTAAAATTTATACCAAAAAGCATTGTTTCCAGATAGCTTTACTGTAATCAGTAAGACACCCTCAGCATACAAACATGACAGTCTCATCCACCATCCTCTTGACACTGGTCTTTAAAGATAACTGCCTAATTCATAGCCCTTGACTACTGTATAATTGAATGGACGTGACCTTCTGAGAATGTTCCAGTCAGTAAAGAACGTGAAGATGTCAACTTTCTATATTATTCTTGAACAGGTAAAAGTCAACTGGATGCCACTAAAATGAATTAAACTGCCAGTCTTACAAGGCGGAAGTCTCTTCATAACTCATTTCCCAAGATCTATTGATTGAGACAGCAGGCCAAATGTATTTCCAAAAGAAATAAGAGAAAGAAAACCCAATGTGTGAAAATACTCTGTCTGTTGAAGATGTAAGCTTAATACCTTGCTTTCCTATTGTCTAGTTTTGTTATTGTCTGACATTGTTTTCCACAATTACTCCCCATCTTTGTTTCCTTCTGCTGACATTATTATGCCTCCAGTTTCCCTATTAGTCTATTCCCATGGTGCATACATACTGTTCATTTCTTTCTCTTTGCTCATAACAAGCAGATTGCAAATGTGGATTGCAAGATCGGAATGATATTTCCAGAGGGTGCAGTGTGACTCACAGCACTGCTAGCAATCATCTTTTCTGACTATGCCCAGGCATTGCTTCTGGGCTTGGCATTCAGAGCCAGCCCAGTCTGCCCCATGATGGGCAACTGGCCGGTTTCCCAAGATTACTCTACTACACCAGATTAGACACTGGACTGGTAAAAATATGAAAGCAACTATTTATGTTTATTTTGTAATATTTCCACATTTTAAACCATTTAATTTTTTTCTATAAGTATTAAAATGTTATCATTTGTGCATGTAGTAGTGTGGGTATACAATGTGTATAAATTAAATATCTATTTTAGAAGTGTGAGTTAGTGTCTTTCTTCTTTTTTTTTTTTTTTTTTTTTT